ATGTTTTTTTTATGTTAACTGAAATGCTGCGTTCGAGGTTCTGTGACTTTTTTTTTGCGTTTGTTATAAATTTATATAAATTAACATTAATTTTTAAAGACATACGAAGTGCAAAAAATAATCACAAAAAGTTTTTGGCATTTATATACTAGTATATTATTTAGGGATTACCAAGGAAACACTACAAGTTTTTGCGTTTGTTATAAAGTTATATAAATTAACATTAACTTTAAAAGATATCAGTATCACACGAAGTGCAAAAAATAATCACAAAAACTTTTGTCAATAAAAATGTTCGATCGAAATAAAGTCGACTGATAGTCATTCAATCAAGCACATTGATTACTGGAGGTCATTTTCTATGACGTGAAAGGGTGCGGTAGAATACGGCCGCCTCATTGTTATAGAACGATTCGTATCACTTTGGGTTGCCTAATTATTGTGTGCCACGAACAAAACCTAATATGAATCTCAATACATTTGGATTATCATTTTCGTGTTTACAATTAAATAATACCTCAAAATAACTAAACATATATATTGAGCTATATAGAATCATCTGCTGATAAGATTGTAACCCAGATCTGAGATAGTTATGTGATTCTTGTCTTTTACTTTAAATCGCAGTAGAAGCCGAGATTTTCGTACTGATGACGACAACTTCGCATCGAGCAGCCGCAGTTAAAAAACGGTTAACGCTATTTTTAGGCCTTAAAATCGTAATATTTAAACTCAACTGGCTGAAACGAAAGCGGAAATTATGTTTTTATAGATAATTATTTTCTAATCATTACTCTTTTCTACATTAAAATGAAAATACGTATCATTAAAGTATATTAAGCTATAAGTTGGTTTTTATTGACCAACTTTTTTCACCTGTTCCGAACTTCCTGTTTCTATTAATTGCAAAAAAGAATGGGTATAATAAACGCAATTGCAAAAATAGTAATAAGCAATCACCTGTTTAAGATGCGAAGTGACAAATTACTGGTTAATACTCATGCAGGTTAATTAATGTAAATATAACTTTGAGAGCTGGGTAGAGGTTAAACTCTTAACTTTATCAAAAAAGAGGTTTAAGTAATTACAATACAGCCAATCTTGATCATATATCGGCTGCCTATTAGGTTTCAATGAAATTTTTTCATGGTTGATTGATTCAAATTATTTCCGTGACATATATATCCGTATAACAAAGACAGAATACATGACCTCGACTAAAGTCTTACTAGAGTTACAATTAAAAGAGGGGACATTTGTTTTTATAAGCTAAATTAATACCTAGCTTAAAAGCGGGATTACATTTTAATGTATTTCATCTATAAAAGAAATATTTGTGTCTTCATCAAAATCCGTTGAGGTTTTTTTTTTTGGCAAAGAGAGCTAAAAGACTCACTATCTAAGACGGCCGGCAATGCGATAAATAAAGACAGAGAATGGCGATGAATTGCGCGGCAAAAAACTATTTTTAATTAATTATTCGCGTACTATTACGATTGCTGTGAAAGTGCTGCATAATCTCCTCAGTTATAGCTGTTACTCACTTTTTTTTTCCTATACAACAAGAAATTTAAAAAACATTACCGGTAACTATGATTTTTTCAATACAGAAAAAAATTAAGCTCATATTTTGGCTCTGATAGAACCATAAAATAAGTTGTAGTTTTTTTTATTTTTTAGGTATTTGAAGTTAATTTTTTTGTACGATACTGTTTTTGGTGTATGCGTTCTTTAGCATCTATTGTATTTCTACTAAATATTTTTAGACTTTGATCGTGTGAATAATTACTTATCAATCCAATGTTTAGTTTTCATTGCAAAAAAGAATTCAGAAAATATAAATATAGTCCAAACAAATATCGTTCAAAAACCCGTATTCAGTTCAGAATGAAATGTCAATCAATCAACCGATCTATACTAAAAGCATAAGCGCTTGCAGTTTTTATTGTTGACCTTGATTTTGCCTAGTTATCTGTAATTTGGTTCCGATATTTAACTTAAAATATATTATATTAATTATCTACTTAGGAAATATTTATATTTATCAAGTGATTTATTTTGGCTAACACACCAATGTACGTGTATTTTTGTTTTAACGTGTATTTTTTTCGTTTTAGATCGTTTAATTAACAAAGTTAAAACGGCATACCATAAAAATACCGAAATATATCGGAAATATTCATTAACATTATCGAAATATAATATCCATTTTTATATTAAACAGGATTATTTAAATATAATATCAGATAAAAGAGGTCAACATGAAATCATAATATGTATAAAAACAATCCATTACATACATTTTATGACTGCATTATCGTCATCATAAATTGTGACTGCTAGAGTTGTTATTTAACATTTAAATGAAGTAAAAATTTTCTGATTATATTATAACACAAACTTATAGTATTATTATCTACGGCTCCAAACATTAATACAAAAAGCAGCCTATTGTTAAGAGGGCTTAATGTGATTTACTTTCGCTGTAATAAATTTGTCTAATTAAGCTGTCATTAAAATTAGAAAAGGTCATCATATATATACATAAGAGCAATGGAAGGGTAAAAAATTAGTAAAGCTTATATCGACAGAATAAAATTACTGAATTAACTCTAAAATTCACATTAATAGCAAAATAAAAATATTTGAGACTTGCTTTTCTAATTTATATAAAGGGTCCGTTTGCCATTTTCCGGAACAAAATGGTAAATATTTCATTTTCTCTTTGATAAATCAATATAAATTACAATGAAACCAAAAGGAGATAATTCATTTACAAAAAAAAAGGTTTTAGTTAAAATTATTCTAGCGTGTTTACATTTAAGTAAATAAGAATATTCGGCGTATAATACTGGTAAATGTGGCGTTACACTTGGCCGGGGTTTCCCGGGTGGGGGGAAGTCAGCCGTGTGGGATTCCATTCATATGAGTGTAATTGTCTTGGTACAGGTGAGGAGCGTATACTTCCCCCGGGAGTTATTGAGGCCGGCATCTCTTCTCACCAACCTCGTGCTTGACGACACACGGGCGCACACTACTCGCCTTTCAGCTACATGTGACAACATATTCGCGTACATCAGCGACACTGTAGCACCAGGTATACCTTAACTCATTTACTACGTTTTTGACGACGCCGAATGGCTTACACTCCAGGGTCAAGATGACACAAAGATGGATCAATGTAGAAAACGAACTTTTATATATTGTTTTAGATTTTTCCATAATAATAATGCTTATTTCTTAATGAAAAATGCTTAATAAATCCATTTGGCACCTGGCTCCCTGAGATAGGGTTCGAACCCATGACTTTTCGCAATCCGGGCTACTGCTCTAACCACTGAGCTACCCAGGACCTAAAAGGACTGACGAATCTTTCAAGCACTTGTTAAAAAATTGCTCAAATATAATAATACTTTAGCTGCTCAATTTGGGATCTGAGCAATGAATGTGTTGTTTTCATATATTTATTATTATTATTACATTTCTTCATGTCTGCATGCTTAAGAATAAACCAATGAGTGACCAAAGAAAATGAGCCATAAGTGTGTATATCACACTTACAAAAAAGGCTAGTAGGAATGTCGTAATATAAGCAGGTGTGCCTGTAAAGGACATAATAAATTGAAAGTTGTGTAAGAATCTAGATTTATTTCACTACTTTTCGCGTTTTGTAGACATAAATATACCTACAAAAGTTGAATTAGGGCAAAAAACTTTTAGTTTCGCCATGTCCATGTCCTGGCTCAGGCTATTAGTAATTTGGGATAAGCATATAATATTAAATAAAACGACAAAATTGTGTAAATAAAATCATGGCAGAAGTTTAAGGATGTCTACGAAATAAGACACGATTTTTGTTTTACCATGCTTATCATTGCCAGTTATTAAGAAAGCCATTCCAAGATATTGAGGTGGGTGGAAACTATTAGTATTTAAGGATCCATTAGTGAAGTATTAAGTTTCCTAGTTTTAATTCCGTATATAAATCGCATATATTTAGTATTAGCTGTGCCTGCGACTTCATCTGCCTGGAAAAGTTTATTTAAAGAATTATTTCTTTCCTATGGATGAGATCGAATTAATGGGTCATAACCCACTACGTGGGCCTAATGCGGATTGGTGGGTAACGACTACTTATGCAGCCAACGGCTTAACGTGTTATGTCTTCCTCACAAATCAATGGTGACAGATAAATAATAATATTGGATTTCAGGTATGTTTATTTATATTTCAAATATTGGCTCCAATATTTTAGACGTGTAGTGCACACGTACTACAAGTGTGTGATCCTTTGACAGCCGCACAATGCGATATCAGTTCTCCACGTTATCTCGGCAGTGAATCAAGTAGAATCTTTCTCCAGAGCATCCGTCGTGGTATAACTTGCACGTCTGGTATTTTGATTTTATTTACAATCATTTTATTCACACATAGTGATAGTTGTTTCCCCGCAAATTTTCCCATTTACGGCACAGCATCCCATTTTGCATAACTAGTTCATCTTGTCTCATCTCATCTCATTGTGCCCAATAACTCTTTGTGACTGGGCTCATTGCAGCCAATTCCCACCATTTAGGCCTCGGTGCACCAGGCTTGATCCACTCGACGATTAGCCGTAAATCCTTGTCATCCTCCTTCGCCTTCGATAGAGAATTCCTCATGAAGATCTGTCCTTAACAACCTTATGGGCACTAGCTCCTTCGCTTCTTGTCTGGTGCAGTGTTTGCAGTTTTCAACACAAGGTCTTCTTGAGAGTGCAACAGCGTTCCCATAGGACTTGCCACTGCAATATTCTATTACGAAATCAAACTCTTGTAGTAATTCAAGCCATCTGGCCACACCTCCCCTGGATTCTGGCCATTTCAGCGTGGAATGATCAGTTTGAAGATGAATCTTACGTCCCAGTAGGTATTTCTTAGAACGCTGCAATGTTTTTACCATAGCTAGAAGTTCTCTTCTTGTGATATGAGCAGTTATTTTCTGACCTGGATAATGCTTTAATGAAGAAGGCTATCACAACCTCGTTGTTTCCTTTGCGCTGCGATAAAACACCATCGATTCTAGTGTTGCTCGCGTCAGTGTCGATGAAGCGTCAGAAGCAAAGCGAACCTTCTGCTGGAATGAGAGGTAGCATTCCAGGAGTTGAAGTAGTGATTGTGTAATGCTCCTATTTTGGGATATCCAGATGCGGAGAATAAATTCCTATGAAATTGTTGTTTTTCTTGAAATAAATGTAGCGTATTTTTATATATTATTTATTTCTAATAATCAAAGTCACACAAATCACCTATGCAATCTATGCATCTTTGCCAAAGCATGCTCTTCTCGAAGAAATCAGCTGGACGGGCAACAAATTCTTCAAAGGCATTTTGTACGGCCTCTGGGGTACTGTTTTTTTTTCCCGCCAAGAAGTTATCCAAATTCTGGTAAAAGTAGAAGTCAGTACTTTGACTAAAGCTGGTTGGAGACGTGCGAGCTTCTCCATCATTATGTTCAGTTCTTCATAGTACACGTCTTCAGTAATGCTCGTCCCGTTTGGAAAGAAGCTGTGATAAATTACACCCGCGTTACACCACACAGTGACCATCACTTTTCTAGGGGTAAGTTTTCGTTTAGGGCATTGTTTGGGTGCTGAACCAGGGTTCAATCAACTTGCTGAGTGCTTACGATTGTCGAACAGGATCCATTTCTCGTCACAAGTAACAATGCGGTTCAGAATTCCTTCATTTGTATGCATGAGCAGTGCAAGGCCCGTCTCGACACGTCTTCGCGCTGGCGATCATTGAGTTCGTGGGGTACCCATTTGTCAAGCTTTTATACCTTGCCAATTTGACGCAAACGGACCAATATTGTTTTGATGCTAACGTCGAAAGCTGCTGATAATTCAGCCGTAGATTGAGTTTCATCAGCTTCCACAATCGCCTTAAATTCCTCATTGTCAACCAATGTTTTCTGACGACCACGGGGTTCATTTATAAGGTTAAAATTTCCAGAATGGAAGCGGGCAAACCAATAACGGGTGGTGCGCCCATTTGTAGTGTTCGCTCCGTAAAAGTCGTTGATGTTGCGTGCCACTTGTGCCGCTTTGCTGCCACGACTGTACTCATACTCCATAATTACTCGATTTTTTAATTTATCCATGACGACGGAAAATGTTCGAATGCATTGAAAACAAAACACTAACAATTAAACAAATGTCAATTTTTTAAAAAAGAATTTCATGTTTATAAAATAAAATTAATTTGAAATTAGAATTATCAGCCAAAAAAAAATATTTTGATTTGAAATTGCCAGTATGGTAGAACGGCTTTTTCATAGGTATTGATGACCTTTTATTAGACTATCGATCAGTTGTACACACATACATTAAGGTTAACGACCCCTGAAAGCACTAATGAATGTCAAATTTGTATGGGTAATGCCAATTTAAACTAATGACAATTTTAATAGACATTTGTACAACTGGCTGTATATATGTTCAGATGTTGGTATATATTTTCAAAACATAAAAAGCCATTCATAAAATTCCAGTCAATAACCGCTTGTTTTTTGAAACAGTTGTAATGAAACTAATAGTTTTGTTTTGACAATTTTCCTTACTTATTTTGCAATATGCGTCCACGTGTTTATAACTAGGCCTTGTCAGTAACAAAGCCTACTTGTTTAATGTAATCTACTTTCTCCCAAAAAATTACGTAATGCACGCTGCCAACATACAAGATAAATTCTAATTAAATTGACAGACTGAACTAGTTTGGTTATTCGAAGAAAATAATATAGTATTATGCAATATACATTATATGCTTAAGTAGCCTAAATATACCTAAGTTTATACTTTTAACACGAAGTTTACAATAGTATTGATTGATTACTTTAACTTCATATCTTAACAATTAGTTGTAACGTAGGTATATTGGTGAACTTAAGACAAGAACACACTAATTAAACATTAAATTTTATTGGTCATCGCAATCATATTATCAATAGGTATTCGACGCGATTTCATATTCATACAATTTTCGTAGTTCGTAAGTGTGCTCCTGGTTTTATCGGCGAGTATCTAATATTATGTTAGATAAAGATCGTTAAAAAACGAAAAAATAGTAAAGCCTTAAATTAGTAAGTTAATTACGGTTATCGACCCGTCTCGGAACGATTATACCTAAATGCAGTTAGAACCGGTTTCACGTTAACACATGATAGTGTAATGCTGGTGCAATATGTAATGATACTCAGTGTTAATGGTCTATTAGTTCCTTACTTTGTATATAGTTGCTGATTATATGCTTATGGATATCAAACGAAGTAGAAAAACTCGAAAAGTAGTCAATGGTTTAACTTGAAAATTTCAATGTAGCGTTTCTCTAAATGTTTGCTTTTCAAATTATATTCCTTTAATATCTACTAGGCCACAAAATGGCTAAGTTTTAGCTATTATTTTTACCTAAGGCGCTGAATATTGTCCGTGTTAACTACATCTTTTTATCGCCAAATAAATAAAGGTTATCTTTTATATTTATATATATACTAATATTACAAAGAGAAAAGATTTGATTGTTTGCATTTACTAGGCTCCGAAACTATTGAACCGATTTTAAAAACGTTTTCACCTACAGGAAGATACATCATACGCGAGTTACATAAACTCTTACTTACGAGGGCAACTTGCTGTAAACAGTGTCTTATGATTTTAATAATTAAAAAGCATCATATATGTACATACGGTTGGTTATATTTTTCAGGTATCATAGTGTATGATGGTCGACGGGATAACGCATGGCGTGTGACGCATGCTTCCATGTACCCCGATCCGGATCTAGGAGAATATGACATTGGCGGAGAGAAGTTCACGCTCATGGACGGAATCGTTGGTCTCGCTCACTCACCTACACAAGGCCTGTTATATTACCAGCCATTGGCTACTGATAGGTAATTAAGAATTGATTACGATGTTCAACTTCCGGATTATAAATGTGAAAATGGAGTTCGTGCGAACTGTAATACTACTTACAAATACATAGTACTTACAAATACATACATTTTTAAACTGAAATAGGACTAAAAACTACTAAGGACTGTTATTGAGCGGTATATTAATTTATATCACAGACATGGTGGTCTATTCATTTTCCAATAAATAAAATTTTGCAAGCGGGTTCTTTTTAGGACGTAGGTGCTCAATAAGGCGGGATTTTACGAAATTCGACCGCCAAGGGGGTAAATTAGGGGATGAAAGTTTTTATGGAATTTTCTCATTTCTGGACTTAAAACTAGATCACGTGGACGAAGTTGCGGGCAAAAGCTAGTATAATATAAAAATAAAGCAAGCTAATTATTGGAATTCTAGTTAACTATCATCAGAGGTCGGAATTAGGTAGAGTTATTTATGTACTTGCATCGAAATGTTGATATTAATGTGGACCTTCCCGGGATTTCTTTATTTCTTCTTTCTGTATTTCTTTCTTTCATTGATGTAAGTTTGGCAACGTCGTGCGTGCAGTAGTTAAAATTGTGTAAAAGTAAATAACTTTTTATTTATAAATTACAGGATTTTTTCTGCTCTTTAAAATTAATCTCGGGATTTGAGGCATATCCACTTTATTCTTTCGCTGTATGAAATCAGTGTAAGTACATGAATAACTCTACCTAATTCCGACCACTGCTTATCATAAAGTTCGTAATATAGAGTGAGGTATTTATCCTCCATAATAAAATTAAATGTGTCATATCTCGGGGATTTACAAACAATTCATTTGGTGTTTGTTTTTGTTTTTGAATATAAGTATCTACTTAATAAACCCAGTTCGCTATTGATAAGAAAATGCAATAAAAATATATTTATTTTAATGCAATAACTAATGTAAAATTAACAAATGAAATATATCCTAGTTATCAGGCACTACTTTAGGTATCCGCGTACCTGGGAAAAGGGTTATAAAACCTTTTCTGTGTTCTGTGGTATAAAATGAATAAGTCTAAGAAAAAGTAACATACTTTAATTCTCATTTTATGCCCAATTTTAATTTACCGCATATCCAATGATGATTTTTTTCACCTAGAAAGTTGAAAAGGTTACATAGAATATTATAGAATGTCAGGCAGGTCGGCAAACTCATGATACGGAGGAGAAAAAACTGAAATTTTCACAATATCACAGCCACTGGAAGATTCAATTTGAATATTATTTAAATACCTATTTGAGTCATTTGAAACTAGCTGTTATCCCACGACTTTGCCTGCGTAATATTAAAAACAAATCATAAAAAGAATTCAGTTATTATAGTTAAATTACTCACTTTCAAACCACTTCGTATTAGGTTAATCTATCAATCAAAAAGTCGATATACAACTTCTTCAATAGATACGTAATTAAATCATTTATTTCATGTTAATTTGGTGGACGTACTTAACACGCACTATTCAATATTAAGTAACAGTTTTATTCGCATAATATCTTCAGTATTTTGTGAATGACGCTTAATGGAATAAAAAAATATTCTTATCGAAAATTGAACTTAAACGATACTTGGGGTAATTCATAAACTTTAGATTACATAAATCTAAATATTTAATCCGAGAATTTACTATACTTTTGGTTTGAAAATGAGAAAAAGCTTAAAAAAGTCAGAGCGATTCAAACTTGATTTAATTACAAATTTATATTTATTTCCATATTTTTTTTTTGCCTTAAACATGGTATTTATTTATTTCAAAAACAAAATCCACAGCAAGTTCTTATCTTAATAATAGAAGAACAATTTTAACATATTATTTAATGCGAGTTACAGTTTTTCAGCATTTAATTACATAAAACAAAATAAAAATTAAATAAATTCGACCAAATACAGGTATGAAGGTGTTAACATTGTAATATATCCTCATGTTTCGCCATTTTCAATTGGCATTTAAAAACAGTATATTGGGATCTAATTCAGCGAGATTAAAAAATAACATAAACAATAACAATCAAATTATTAAATCTATACTAATATTATAAAGCTGAAGAGTTTGTTTGAACGCGCTAATCTCAGCAACTACTGGTTCGAATTGAAAAATTATTTTTGTGTTAAATAGACCATTTATCGAGGAAGGCTTTAGGCTATAATACATCACGCTGCAACTATTAGGAGCGAAGAAATAATGGAAAACGCGGATGAAGTCGCTGGCGGCCACTATTTCCTAATAAGTTGAAAAAGCATTGGTATTACAAGTCAGGGTTAAAAAAAATAATTATAATATTAAAATAAATAATATATTGTGTATCTGCTTTAATTTATTAATATAGACAATATATTTTTTTAATTTCATAATTTTAGATTAGAATTGCTATAGAGATAGAAGTAATCAAATTATTTTGTAAAGTTTTTTACAACTGAGAAATTATTTTTTCAGAGTGTTCAGTGTGTCAACTGCTGTACTAGCTGCTGGTCCACCTGCTGAGGGCACCGATTTGCCTGTCAACTTAGTCGGTCGCAAATCATCCCAGGGTCTTGGAATCGCCGTTGACCCTCGTGACGACACCATCATATTTAGTCCTCTCACTGAGACTGCCATCGCCGCTTGGAATCCTATTACTAACTCTCATAAGTAAGTATTGCATATTCTTTAAAAATATTTTTGGATTATTACATGTTCAAAACTAGTTGTTTTATCGCGACTTCCCCCGCATATGATTTAGCTTTCCGTGGGTGAAAGAATTTTTAAAATCATCATCATCAGCCCTTATACGTCCTCACTGCAGGGGCCCAGGCCTTCCTTATGGATGGTTAAGGAGGATGGGCCACGATGCGTGTGATGTGTGTTAAATCAAATAAATGACGCTGGCCCAATGCGGATTGGAGGGTATTAACGACTGCAAATACAGCCGGGACCAACGGCTTAACGTACCTTCCGATGCACGGAATAGCTCGAGATAATAATGTTTTGGTCACCCATCCCGTGACCGACCCATGCGAAAGTTGCTTAACGGCAACGATCGCGGGCCGCGGCGCTTATCCACTGCGCCACCGAGCTACCTTTAAAATAAGTTCAGTAGTTTCGTCAAAAAATGTTGTCATTTTGCATGATCCATTTTGTTTTATATAGTTATCTACAGTTATACCAAAAAACCGCATTAGATGTTACGTGGCGCTAAGCGATATCCATGAAAATCGGAGTACAGTTTTATTTAAATTTATATATCAATTATTTATAAGTAGAGAAATTAATATTCAAGTTAAGTGAAAAATGTAACCAAAACAAACATAAAAAACTATTAAGAGGTCGCGACAATAATATGCAAGAACTTTGGAAAGCTTAATATTCCGGGAGGTATGTTGAAGTGTTAAGGGTACACGTCACTCAGTACCCATTACGGAGGTCAGGTGCTGGAACACCTGGTAACGACGGGACAATGTAAATGTACGAAAAATCATAATACTCGTAATATACAATATCAAAGATGCTTTTTAATACTGTAAAAGTAGCAAAAAAGTATTCTTAACATTAATAAGGATAGAAAACCTGCTCAGATTGCACAGTCATGAAATGCAAAAATGAGTTTCGTCGTTGATTCATATAAATATACTAATACTATATTTAATGAAACAAACATAATCAACTGTGAAGTCAGGCGCTGGAACACCAGCCGGCTCAACGCTGCGCTGCCTTCAGGTAGTTCTAGCACCTGACTCCACAGTGGGGACTATAAATTTAAGATTTCGGAAGCTCTCGTACATTTTAAGCACGAGCACTCCGTCCATTATCGCTGGAACGAATTCAAATTTGTGCATAGATCATCCTTTTCATAAACATATTGGGGCCTAACTAGCGATCAAGGTGGTCCGAAAAAAAAACTATGCCATGATATCGCTTGACTAATAGAAAACAAGTAGTCAAGTGAGAGCTTCCGAAACACAATTTTAAGTGAGACAAACATATATTCGCATCTCAGTATTTTTATTTAATAGTTTATATATACGGATTTTATGCTTTAAAATGCGAAATGGAATAAAATCTTAAGTAAATATCTTCAAAATGAGATAGATAGTTTGATAAAATATTTGTTATAATTTGGTGTAATAGTGAGTGGTTTCATGGGTGTAATTTCAGGGGTAGGCCGCTCATAGAAGTCATTTAAGTTTTTATTAATTCTAACCTGTTTTTAATAAGTACCTACACGGTCTACCTATGAGGTGTATTTTCAATAACGCGTGTGTTTAATCTGTTTTGAATGATTATTTCTTTATAACGGTAATAGGACGTCCAAAAAGTATGCTTCAAATATTTATCTTTATAATCTAAATATAAATTTCTACAGATTCTATATCTATTTTTGCAGATTACTTGCAATAGATCCGGAAAAACTACAGTTCTGCGCAGAAGTGAGATGGGCGGAACGCGACAATGGCGCCATCTGGGCTCTTTCTTCGCGCTTCCATAAGTTCTTCCGCCGTGCCGTCTCAAAGCACGAGGTTTGTAATTCTTTTTCACGTTTTTAAATTTAATAATATGATTTCAATGACGCATTCAATTACGTATGATACTGACACTGACATTTATTGTTTGTCTTTGGTTCTATTAAAATTAATTAAGAAGATTTTTTGTTAAAATTTACTGAAATAAATGACACTATATGGCGATACTTTCGATAAGTTTTACCCGACAGCCAATAACGACATAAAATTGGACCAAAAAGTAATTTTAGTTTTTAATTTAACAACCGGAAGTTAGCTATTCCTTATAAACACAAAGATTGAAAAAAAAAAAATTACTTATTTATTAATTTTTTAAACTGAGTTTACTTTCATTTCATAAGAAACAAAATCCAAATATCATAGATAATTTAGCGGAACACTCAGGAACACTATATCCAAATTGAGCTAATCAAAGAGACATAATCTAAGACAAGTACAAAAATTTCAAATTACGCCATTTTAAGAATACTTTTTAGTTACAGATCTTTTATAACTTTTCCAAGAATCTTAAATTTTTATGCTTTTATGTCTTTGCTCACACCATGAATCTGTCTCAATCAATCAAATCGAATATGTCGTCAAATTGCTTGAAATTATTTTTTATTTTTATTTTTCTAAATGAAGCTTTTAGAGGTGTTAGATTTGAATCTATGAATAGTTACTTTGCTATTACGGATAAAAATCTAACAAATCAATAATAGAGTCAGCCGTTATTCGGCTATAAATGTGATGCCTAACGAAATTATTTTTTCTCAGATCAATGTGAGAATAGTTCGCATCCCTGATAGTGGTTTCGTATCACTACAGCCGCATGTGTTGCGACGCGCTGCGCGACGATCCAATGCCACCTTCTACTGACGCGTGACAGATACACAACACAACCACTAGTCGTGCGATCAAGCTGGCACAGAGATTCTAATAAAACTATGTCTCTTACACGCTAATATAATTATGACATCTCCATGTGCATGTTTTCACCTGATGCTACACAACTTGCAAGGTTACGTTAGTTGCAGTTCGATAAAATGTGCAAACAAGTAACTGGTAATTGGAATTTGTAACCTGTTCTTTTTGATATAGCATACAATGTGAAGGGGTTTATCAGCCTTATCTCTTTATTAATACTAACACGATGACATTTCAATATTTCACATAAATTATAGTTACAGCATTAAAACTGGTCTTTCTGACGAATTTTAAAATTGTGTTACTATAATTAAAAGTTTATCAGGCCCCTCATATTATTGTATGTAGTTAGATATTTTAATTAAACTTTTATAATAAACTGTAAAAGATATTTAGATTACTGCTTATAATAAATAAATAAAGAGTCGTAATTTTTACATAGGGTAAATTTTATATTGCCTTATCAAAGAGGGTGTTCGTCTTATGATCAAATGAATTTGACTTGTGATAGGTGGTCGATTAATTAAACCGATTTTTTTCGAATTCTTAAATAGACCATTTAATTCTGTTATTATAAAGTGAGACTTACGTCCAGGTGCACAAACGTCCATTAAAGGTTTAATGACTCCTTTAAGCTCTAATGAATGTCAAATTTATATGGGTAATGTCCCTTCAAACTAATGAAAATTTTAATGGAAGTTTGTGCAACTAGCTGTTAATGCATTAGATTTCTTTGTTAGCAGTAACTAAATATTTTGAAGATTTGCACTATAACATTGATTTTTTATACTGTTAGGGAATTAACACTAAATCTTTGGAACTGTTTTTTCTATTACGTTAGACTATTGAGGTTAGCTTTTTAGCATTTTGATAAATAAAGCAGTGACTTTAAAAAGTTAAAAATACTTTGAGGACTTCTTAATAATATAATGGAAAATTATAGAACTTTTCCAAGAAATCAATTCTTAATTGACAAAAAGTGGTGCAATTAGTAGCGAAAATGATAACAAATTGCCTATGATCATAAACAATTTTAGATTAAAAAAATAAGTTTAATATTAACATGCGGAAAGTTACCAATAAAGTTACCTTCATAGTATTATTGACTGATAATTTTTGGCATAAATAAATATCTACATTATTAATTATGGCGATTTGGTATGAAAATTAAAAGATATCATTTTGTCATTAGTATTAACTTTGTAAGAAGAAATTCTATCGGTCATTTCTATATATACATTTTGAAATCTTTTGTACAGATAAGTTTATAAGCTAAATTATCAAACCAGCTATTATTATAAAACATTTTAAAATCTAGTATTGATTCTGATTGATCATCACGACAGTCGAAACTACCAAGAAGTCATAACGTTATTTAACATTATAATAAAATTAGAACCAATTGTACATACTTATTAAACTTTATGTATTATATAGATTAAATGTGTATTAATTATTTAGCTGCTATTGATAATTTTAAATATTTATCTGTTTTTGGTCTTGTTTGTTCCATCACAGAATGATGAGTAATTATGTATGGCAAAAAATAAGTTATAAAAAGTCAGTTTTTTTTTCTTTTATAAAAACTTACCGAGACACCATAAAAATTGTTTTGATACAGGAATGTAATTATGCCTTCTTACATGTTTACTTATTTTTGTTATTCTGACAAAAAGTAAGGAAATAAACTTACTACTGTTATATGTAGTAAGTTCCTGAAGCAAATACTCATACGAGTATTTCAGTTGCCATTGTCATAGTTATTATAATATTTTTATTGTAATATGGGTACGATTGAGCTTGAGTATAAGTTATAGTATGGTAATTAATTTCATATTTTTCATCTAAATATTTACAAAATTTTAATAGATATACCTTTAAATGTTTTGACTAGGCTTTTATAATGTCTTTTTTAGGTACTGTTTTTTTTTATCGTAAAATTTCTGATGGATTTATAATTAAATAAAATATGGTTTATTCTCGTCGCAAAACTATTTCTTGAATCTTAAAGACGCCATAATATTTTAATTAAATTTATCGTTACTGTAAAAATCGATAGTATACGAGTGCCAAATATTGGATTTACTACTTATTGAATTTTTATGTTGTGACCAGTGCGGATAATTAATAAACTAATACTTTCAGAAAATTATGTAAATATGTATAACTATTTAAATAAACATTTAAAAAATTATTTGTATTAGTGAACCAAAATATTTCGCAATGACTACAATGTGGATGGAGTCTACATGGATTTTATATCTTTATACTTTAATAAATAACATAAATTATTAGTTTTGTTTTATTTTATTATATAAAATCATATTATTTATATCACTATTAAAGTTCATACAGCAGCACTTCCGGTTATCTCAATCAAAAGTTCATTTTGAACTTTACCTTCAATGTTATGCATTGAAGGTATATAAAATCAAGTGGAGAAATTGGTCAATTTTGTCTAACCTGCAGAGCGATTCCGTAAAAATCCGAACCCGATTTTGAATTCACTTAGATGATCGAATTCAATTCGTAAGCGGGTGCGGTTAACTTTTATTAGTGTCGAAATATTATTGATTCGATTTTTTTGTATAAAAATCACCGTGTCAGTCGAAACTCACTTCATTTATGCCACGAAACGTAAATACCAATTCAAGGTTCAAATTGAATTTGGACACTTGAGTGAATTAGAATTTGGGTTCGTATTTTAAGGAATCGCTGTGCTGACTTCAGCTGATGTGATGTTGAGCATACTATAAAATCTTAAAAAAATAGAAAAGACTTTAATCTTTAAAAAATTATATACAATACTTATCTCAAAAGCAACTTATTTAAGAAAATACTATTGAAGTCCTGCGGGCTTTTCTGTAGGTTTAAATTCGGTTCTAATTTTTTTAATGTTTTTATTTTATGCTTTTCAGTGATATTTATATTTATTATTTAATAGGTTACACTAAAAGTATTCAATATCTATCTAAATAAAAATATTCAACATAGTGAAAGTCTTAGAAAAGGAGATTTTGTTTATTTGGTCGACATTTCTTTTTCAATAATCTATATTCATATTTAAAAAAGGAAAGATTTGATTACTGTTTTTTGTTAAATAGGCCCCGAAACTATTAGACTAATTTATAAAAGTCTGGTATTTACGAGAAGCTACATTATACTTGGTGGACTATAATTTGCGCATGCGAAGTCGCAGGAAAATAGCTAGTTTGATAGGAATTGGTTCACAATTCAAAAAGACATTGGTGAACATACAATTTACTCTTTGATACCTACTATCTGTGACTTATAAAAAAATATAGGGGAAAGGAAGATAAGATGGAAGGGATATCTTTGAGTAGTAATGCTTATTTGAATTGTTCTTGAAAGGTAATTAAATAATGTAAACATATTTCTATTTAACAATAACTATATTCTAGCCAAAAATTAGTAAGGAATTCCCTGAGGAGGAAAGGTTAAAGACAATTTAGAATATATAACACAAATTTTAGTTTTGCAATTAATATATAAATTAAGACCATTTTCCAACTTACGTATTTATTTACAAAACGACAAACATCGTAAGCAGTTTTCTATAGCTGATTTTTCGCATTTTTCTTGGGGAAATAGAAATAATTATTCGTTTTCTTTCTTTGTTATTTTTTATTGTACCCTTCCTTAATAATGTCACTTTGATTTAAAAGTACTAATTTTGTTCTTTATTATAACTTTCATTTTTTTACACCTTCCATTTTGTTCTCAACTTCATATTTCCGTCTTGCCCGTACGCTGGTATTATACATACTTTAACATATCACTGCACTGCACTCTATTTGTAGTACATATTTACTCGCAAAGCAAAATAGTCTTATTGGTTATTGTATCAATATGTGCACTCTATTTGTAGTACATATTTACTCGCAAAGCAAAATAGTCTTATTTCTTAATTATCTTAAGCAATCAAAGTAGAGAAATCTGACCTTTTTGTTATATTTTCCTATCAAATAAATACTACCAATGAATCATGGATCGACCACATCATTGTGTCCTCTCAGGACAACGTTCTCAAACATGGTCAATTACCTGCGCCTTGCTTTTCTAAACATGATCTCATTTATCTGGCATATAAAGTTAGATCTCCTAAACATAGACCTAAAATTGTACGTATGAGAAATTTCCTGAGGGTGGACGTAGAGAAGCTTAGACAGGATGCGGAAGCTATCGATTGGTCTCTTGTATATAACGCATCTTCAGTGAATGTTATGGTGGTATATTTCAACACCATGATTTTGAATATTTTTGACATTCATGCTCCTATTAAAGACGTCAAACTTAAACGACCACCTGCCCCGTGGATAACACCTCTTGTCCGTATCGCAATGAGAAGGCGGGACAAAGCTTTTCGGGTATACAGACGGTGTCGTACTGAAACCAACTGGGATGCTTACAAACATGCGAGAAACAGGTGTAATCAGATGATAAGGGGAGCTAAACGCCGTTACATTAATTGCAATGTTATCAATTCAACTCCAGCCGAAATGTGGAAGTTTCTTAATTCTATCGGCATCGGCAGAGCCCGAAGCCAAGACTCATGTTCCTTTGGTCTTGATGATCTTAATTGCCACTTTTCTTGTATTAAAACTCTGTCAAATAATATTTAATTTCTCACAATTTCTAAAATTACATCCACGGCTATGCCATCTGACACTTTCTTTACCTTTGCTCAAGTAACAGAGGACGATATCCGCAAGATAGTTCTTTCTATTAAATCTCAGGCCACCGGCTATGATAACATAAGTCGGAAGATGATTGTCTTATTACTTGATGCCATAATTCCTATACTTACTTTCATCCTGAACTATTCCTTATCTTCCGGCTCATTTCCTGTTGTGTGGCGTAAGGCCTATGCTATCCCTCTTCCAAAAGTCTCCAACCCCAGCTCCTTGAATCATTTTAGACCCATTTCCATT